CCCAGAAAGTGGCTCAGTGGTAGAGCACTTGCCTTGCATGCATGAGGCCCTGGGTTTGATTCCTCAGCACCACATAAGCAGAAAAAAAAAAAAAGCCCGAAGTAGTGCTGTGGCTCAAGTGGTAGAGTGCTAGCCTTGAGCTGAAGAGCTGAGGCACAGCACCCAGGCCCAGAGTTCAGGCCCCACAACCAGACCCCCCCCAAAAAAAAACTATCCTAGTTTGTATTTGCAAACATTTGTTGTGTATGTGTGTGAGGGATCTGTAAAGTCTAACCCATAATACAAAGAACAGTTTCTTCAGGCCATCAAATCAGTACCAATTGCCTTCCTTTTAGAAAAAGTTAATTGTGAACAGCCATAGTTGTTTGTTTTTTTAAAAGCAAGCACAAGGAGCCCCTCTCAGAGCTCATTCTGTAGTTAACCCATTCATAAGCATTCCAAAAGCTAAGCCACTTGCAAAGTGAGGGCACCGGGCAGTCCATGACTAGTGTCCAGTGACTCACACATAACATTTGCTCTGGCTAATAGGGACAGATCATATTTGAACACCCTAATGTTTAGATTCTGGATAGAAAAGAAAGTGCAAATTAAATGAGATAGAAACTTCAGGTGAGTGAACTGTACTTACTAGTGGATTCTAAAACAGATAGGAGACAGGCAGGAAGCAGTAGTTTGCACTTACGTGATAAAAGACTCAGGAAGTTTGGAGTTTGAGAACCAGTGGTTCTGGTATAGAGAACGGATGTCCTAAACATTACAAATCTGTCCATCACGCATCATCCTTTCCTGTTCTTCATTCACTCAACATTTTTTTGGCCACCTTTGGCATGCAAATCAATGCTACAAAAAAAATTAATGTGACCCAATATGGATAAAGGTAGGCATGAAGCAAAATCCAAGGAATCCTCTTGCAGGAGACATATGTTTGTTTGTTATTAGAGTTCATGCAAAATCTAATATTTTTAGTACTTATATGCCTGTTTAAATGATTGTGTATGCTTTACTGATCCAATGAAATAATACATATTGTCCTCATTGCTCTATGAAGCATTTTTAGTAGGCAAACTAAGATTTGTTGAAATAGACATAGATAATAACACAACAAATATTAGCATAAATAATCATTTGTGTTGCATATCTTACAAGCCTCTTTTGTTTGATCTTACTCATATGTAGTAGACACGCTTAAGATTCTTATTCCCATTTCACAGTTTTCTCATCAGTAAATAAGAATAATTTTATTAACCTACCTAATAAAAGTGTTTAATGCAGCTTTATGGTGGAAAATCTGTATTGTCAGTGTGCATATTCAACTGTTACTGAGTATAAACCTTGAAAGGAAGGTAAAAAGGATCAAGAATGCCTTGAATATCTGAGGCTTGAACTCAGGGCCTGGGCTCTGTCCCTGAGCTTTCCCCCCCCCTCTCTCTCTCTGTCTCTCTCTCTCTCTCTCTCTCTCCCTCTCTTTCTCTCTCTTTCAAAACTAATGCTCTACCACTTGAGCCACAATTCCACTTCCATCTATTTGGCAATTAATTGGGCATAAACATTTCACAGACTTTCCTGTCCAGGCTGGCTTCAGGCTGGCTTCAAACCACAACCCTCAGATCTCAGCCTCATGAGTAACTACAATTATATGCATGAACCACTGACACCCAGCCCTGACACATTTTTTGTCTAAAACAGATAAATTCATGATGTGTTTTGTATGGATAAAGAATGCTTGACAGTTTAGTGGAATTAAGTATAGAAAGCAATACTTCAGTTGTATCCATGGTAAGTTTAAAACTTCTAGTAGATGACCACAATCATTATCAAAGTAAGTGACAATATGGACTTGTAAATTGGTCTTTCAGTTCCAAAGCCTGCCTTCTCTCCACTCATAAAAGCAGAAGTTAGTGGTTAAGAGTTCAGACTACAGTCAGCCATATGGGTCTGATTCTAGCAGTACTCTTCACTAGTTCTATGTCTTTGAATATGCTACTTCAACTTTCTGAACTTCATTTTTCTTATGTGTAAAATAGAAATAATAATTTGTCAAGCACTTAAATAGTTCCTGGCCCACAGAGGTAAGTGTTTGCTAGAAATGAAAACAGGAAACAAGATTATTGGTGCCTTGTGAAGAAGGGACTCATAGGATTTGGGTGACTGATTGAATGTGAGGGGTAAAATTAAGGTATCAAAGATAATCCTGAGGTTTCCAGCTATTGTGGCCTATTATGAGGTTGAGCAGTGTTAATGAGTTTTTATTTCCTATTTTAAAATTGATAGTTATACAAAGGAATTTCAATTTATGCCAGTTTATTATTACCATGCATCTTGATCAGTGTCACCCCTTCCATCACTCTCCCCCATCTTAACCTAACCCCACATATTCCTCAGGTTACCTCGTTCCATTTTTGCATATGTACATTGAGTTTTAGGACTGTAATTGTCCACAATTCCTCTCTCCTTTCATCAGCCTCTTACTCCTTTAGCTCCATCCATCTCAGACAAAACAAGTTTCAGCTTCCTGGCATTCATTTTGTTAAACTGCCAGTTAATTGTTCAAAGGACTTACACTGTGACAATCCATCCTTGTACATACCATACTTCAGTTAGTTTGATTGTATATATGTGCATATGGCCCTACATGTGGTTTTATAAGTTTAGATTTTAGCTCTAACTTCCACATTTAAGAAAAAACATGTGCCCTTTGTCTCTGAACCTGACTTACATCAGAATTGGATTTTATTTACTTTTTCTTGTTTTTAATTTATTTTTATTATTGTTAGGTAGTTGTACAAAATGATTTTAAACCAGCATATCATTTATGGCTACACATCTTGATCAGTGTCATCCCTTTCATCATTTTGTACCATCTCTCCCAACCCCACCAATCCCCTCAATTTATTTCAATACACTTTCACATATATACATTAAATATTATGACTGCATTATCCCACCCTTAGCTTTAGCCAGCAGTAGTGGTGGTTTGAAAAGAAGGTAGTTGTTGGGCAGAAACTACACATGCCAAATTCTTTCTGAGCAGAGAATGGCTTGAGGAGTTCTACTTTTAGAGTTGAAGGCCCAGCTCCATTATGGTTGATGGTGTATAAATCAGAACTTTCTAAATTGCTGGATTTTTTAAATTTTTTATTTATTTTTTTATTGTGAAAATACTGTACAGAGGGGTTACAATTACATGGGCAAGATAATGAGTACATTTCTTATCAAGCATTGTAGCCTCCTCCTTTGTTTCCCCTTCCCATCCCTTCCCATCCTCCCCCTGCCCCTAAATTGCTGGATTTTTTTTGCTGTTAAAGAGTTCTTTAGGGGCTGGGAAGGTGGCTTAGTGGTAGAGTGCTTGACTCGCATGCATAAGGCCCTGGGCTCAATTCCTCAGCATCACATAAGCAGAAAAAAGCTGGAAGTGGCATTGTGACTGAAATGGTAGGGCATTAGCCTTGAGCTAAAGAGCTGAGGGACAGCACCCAGGCCCAGAGTTCAGCCCCAATGACCGACAAAAAAAAAAAAAAAAAAAGAGTTCTTTAGCCATTAGTTACGAACCAGATGTTCACTGTGACTCAACATGTGTACTGGCCATTTTCAGTCTTAGTACTCTCTCCTGCAAATGGAAACAATATTATCCTAAATAATTGGTCTATGATTCAAAAAGAAGATGCCAATTTTCCAATTAGGTTCTATAAAGTGCCTTATTTATTATAACTGTATTCTATTATGTTTCTACTTGCTTTTTATTTAAGAATCTCTTAATAGTTCCAGAGATTGTGGATAATGGCCCACTCTAAGGTAATCCTCCTCCTGATGAAGTAAATACTAGGTCTAATCAACTTAATTGTTTCATTTGTTGCTAGAAATCTTGATGAGATGGAATAATTAGTTCTTTTCTCATCTTTTTGTGAAACATTTAATTGTAAGGTCTTTATCAGTTAAAATAGAATTTGTAACATTATTGTAATATGCATTTGTTTTCTCTGGTTTGTTATGTTTTATCTTATAAATTTATTTAAATTACATGAAAGTCTGCCTGTTACGGCAATGACTCTGGGAACTGCCCCTTTGACGGTATGATATTTACTGCTGGTATATGGATTGTGGTGTTTCTTGCCTGCCATCATACATAAATTCTGGTGGCAGATTGAATACCATGGAGAGGAAATAACTGATGGTAAATCAAATGTTTTACAATATGCTATTGAGAATTTTGAATTCATTATATAAGGTTATATTTGATAAGTATTTTCAGAGCCCCCATCCTATACTGATACTTCCTTACATTCTTTGTTAATCATATAAAGACTCAAAAGTGAGTTTCTTTTAACAATGCATTAATATATGTTATAGTGAATCTTTTCAACACAAAAATAGAGTAGCAAATATCCAACACTGTTTTTGATTAGAACTATTAAATCTAACAGCTTGTATTTAGTGAACATAATAGTAATTATATAGTCAGCTGAGGAGTTCATTCTCTACCAGAGAAACTACATATTAGAACAAAGCTATTTTGATATATAAAATGCCAAAGGGAAATTGGCTAATAAGAAAGGAAATAACCTTATATGTGGTTAAGATGTCAAATGAACAATTTTAACTCACAATCATTTTTTACAGGGAATACATAAATTGGATTTTTATTTTTAGTTCTTCCTCTTCCCTTCAGAATTAAATGATGGAAAATGACTCTCAGTCCCCAAACTACTCTTATGCATCATTCAAAATAGCCCTGACAGTCTAACCCCTCTGGTAGTGATAAGATTTATGACTTTTCATTCCTTGTGTTCCATTACTCTGTCTACACCATCAAATTGATTAGTAGGCAGTGGCAAGCCAGTAAAGAAAGGCAGCAGCTTAGAGCCAGCTGGTGTCCATCATCTTAATGAACTGCTTAGAGATGGTTAATATTGTCCTTGATCCTCATTGTAGCTGATGATGACCAAATCCTCTGAAATATTCTCTCACACACCACACACACACACCTTTATTCTGTGTTACAGGGACCACTGGAAAACGATTTGGTAGTCCATGTAGCACTCGTAGCAGAAAGTCAACGGTATGAAATCCAAATGGGTGATGTTTTCTTTTGTGGGGAGAGGAGGGTGAATATTTATGCTTATTATATTCTGTATGAGATTAACTTTATAGATTTCTTGCCAGGCTTTCAAGAATGTCATTTTAAATGTTAGCACTACATTCTTTTATGTTTAAAAATATTTTTTGTCTTAGCTGATGTGAATATTAAACTGTAACCAATGCCAGTGCTACCTGGATTATAGTTTTAAGAAATGAGTACAAGAACATTATGGGGATTCCCAACATTAGTACTTAAACTTACTGCCAGCCCTCAGAGTTCCCATCTGATACTCTAGGAAAAATCCAGGAAGACCTGGACTCCAGGGCATATGGTACATTGATGACATTAACAGATTAATATGAATAATATGCTCCAAGTTATCATATTCTCTTCCCTTTTATCCTTCTGATTTGTCATTTCCTAAACTGTATATGATGCATTGTCTAAAAATGTCTCTTTTCTCTTTAGCCTTCAAGTGTTTCTTAACACATATGGTATTCAGACTCAAACTCCTCAACAGGTAGAACCAATTCAGATCTGGCCTCAGCAGGAGCTTGTGAAAGTAAGTCATTTTGCCTCTTTATATTCTCCTTTAAAAAGGTAGCAGAGCATGATGATTGGATTTAGTTTATAGGTGAGATGTATAGTTAAAAATCCAACTCTGAAATAGAATCATTAATCCCAAACTTTCTAATTAAGTTGAGAAATTTGCTTTGTAGGATGTTACCTAAAAGTAAATAATAAAACTGCATTGTGTGTGATGTGTGCATATGTGTGCACACGTTTACATGGACAATGAATATTGCATTCACAGGTCTTATTGATTTCACTCCTGGTAAAGAGCACTTAGGAATTAGTCTTAATTTCAGTTGTCATTTGTAAAGTTATTTTTTTATTTGATTTTAGTTTTTCCAAACTTAAAAAATTCATTTAATTTTTTGATAAATACTACCCCTCTCTTTTTTCCTTTATTTGATGTTTGAAGTATGAAGTATTTCTTATCCCTTAGTTTGCTGCTCTCAAAGAAAGCATAAAATGATGTCCTAGCTTGTATTTGATGTCTAATTGGAGTGAGATTAAAAGGAGACCTTTGTACACACTGCTCTGCAAAAGGGTCAAGAATTGCTATGTTGTGAATATTCTTCCTCATTAGAAACAGGGAATTGTTTGACTCCCACTTGTTGTTCAGAAACTGCCATTTCCTATGGTAATTGTTAAAAACAATCCCGGAACAATCTTCCTTCTTACAAACAGTATTTGTTAAAAAAAAAAAAAAATCTCTCAAGTAATCAAGGTTAAAGTGATTAAATTGATATAAATATTTGTGGTCAAATCTGAGATGCTACAAAGAAGGAAGGAATGACATTGATCAAGAAAGCACTGTATGCTGGGCAACAATGGCTCACACCTGTAATTTTAACTACTTACGAGACTGAGAACTGAGGATCAGTTTAAAGCCAGCCCCAGCAAGAATGTCCATAAGATTTATCTTAATTAACCACCAAAATCCAGCAGTAGAACTGTGGCTCAAGTGGTAAAGTGCTAGTCTTGAGCATAAAAGCTCAGAGAAAGAGCACAGGTCCTGGAAACCCCAAAACTCACACACACACACACACACACACACACACACACACACACATTTTGTACTTACAACCTCTTTGTACAAATTAATAATAAAAATATTTTTAAAAGAATAAGGTCTGAGATAGTTGAGGCACACATGACATGGCAGGAACCCATAATTGCTAATCACCAGGCTAGACCTTACCTCTAGGCAACACAAAATAGATTGTAGGTGTGTCACAAATATGCACAAGCTGTTAAAGGGACCTCATACCTCTCTAAAAATTAGACATTCTCCTTGTACTCCACTTCCGACCCAATGGAGTGCTAAGGCAGAAAGAACAAAGATCTGTTAGAGAAGTAACAGTTTCAAATCGCATATGATGTAAATAATGAGGAGATCTGATTTTTATGGTGGAAGAGAATAAAAGATAATAAGCAAGACCAAGTGGGAACTGAGGAGCTGAAGGCAAGCAGAGGAGGCAATGTAGTAATGAAAAGTATTCCAGTATTCCAAGCCCTAAGGCTTACACACTGCAGATTGTTATTTACATGCAGGTTGTTTCTCCAGAAACACTTTTATGGTCTCACAGAAAGCTCTAAAGAATGGAAACAAAGGTCAGTCTTTGATAAATATACACTTAAAGCAAATTAACCCAAATCTGTTTTTGTTCTTCTCAAGACTAATATGAGCAAATTTTCATCATAATTTTTGTGGTATCTGCCAAATAACATGCAGCCAAGATGTAAAAGGCCAACATGATTAACAAATCACTTGAATGTAGCATTTTATTCATTCCAAATACCTGCTATATTCAGAGCCCCTGGGGCACTAAGGTGACCTCTGAGTCTAACCATAGGAAAATAGTTGATTATAATTCACTCTGATAACAGCTCTGAAGAGATTCCTCTGCTGTGGATCACAGGGGCAGTAGAAAGCATTCTGTTGCACACAAGTAAAGACAGCAGATCCTGACTTTATACTTTTTACATTTTATTATTTTAAAGATTTAGTAAATGGTATACAATTTGGGTATTTGGTTTGGTTAAAGATAAAAGCTGAATCACAAATCCAGCTTCCATGTACCTTTGTGAAGAGCAAGATTGTTCTCTGATTGTTGTTTCAGACTGTATCTCCCAAACTACTGTCCTTTAGAATTCATCCTCTGTATGTGTTGCCTAACATAGTGACCCTTTATAAGCCTTTCTGTTAAAAACAAAGGTGCTCCCTCTAATCTTACCTGATGTAAATATTTTTATGCCTTTTATTCTGAGAACCTGCAACCTATTTCAGCCAGTAAAGAGGATGTGAGTGAGGGTAGAGAGCTAAGAGCGGGCCTTTTGTGTTGTGGTTAATGTTCATGATGTGACTGGTGTGATTTGCTTCAAGGTGATCTGATCCTGTTATACAATGATCTGATTCTGTTATACAGTGCCAATCTAATTAGTATAAAGTACTTCTGTTTTCTGGATAGTTTGGTTGCTTCTATATATTTCAGTCCAAGTTGTATGTATATTATAAAATGGACACAGTAGTATCTCTACCCAAGAATGGAGTGAACATTACAGATTGGCATTACTTAATTGCTGCAGACTTGTCTCAGAAAATGTTTCCATTGTTATAAAGAATAGTGGCTCAAGAAACTTGCCTAGTAATTTGTTCATGGCTGTTTAATATTATTACTGTCTTAAATCCAAGGTAGTTTATGAAATCTGAAATTTTGAAAATATTTGTGGAAAAAGGTGCTCCATCTAGTATTATGTGTCCAAGTTTCAGTGTAGTTATGCAATATAATATTGCAGGAGTACTTTTTTTGGCAGTTAACTTTGTCTGCTATTCCAGAATCAGTCTTCACAGCACATGTGGCTCAGGAGGACAGTTGGTTGCTCCCCCATTCATCCATTTCCTAAGCATTAACTACATGCAGGCACAATGCCAAATTAGGGGATGCTGTTTTCTAAGAATGTTCAATTCAAAAGGAGAAATCAGGACAAAGTTAACTTTGACATGGCAGAATGAACAAATAAATCTAGTACATTAATTTTGTATGTGACAAAGTTGTTGTTTGAAATAAATTCAAATAATCAGCATAGTATAGAAATAGTTGGTTTTATTTTAGGAAAACTTAGGTTAGTATCTACCTTTCATAAATGCAAAAAATAGTAGACACAGTAAACATTTAAGTGCTTTAAAGTTATTAAAATATAAAACCACTAGAAGGAAAATGAGGCAATATTTTTTTTTTTGGTCCAGTCGTGGGCCTGAACTCTAGGCCTGGGCACTGTCCCTCAGCTCTTCAGCTCAAGGCTAGTGCTCTACCACTTGAGCCACAGCGCCACTTCCGGCTTTTTTCTTTTTGCTTATGTGGTGCTGAGGAATCGAACCCAGGGCCTCGAGCATGCAAGGCAAGCACTCTACCACTGAGCCACCTTCCCAGCCCCAAAAAAATTTTAATGCAGATGCTAGGGGTGTTTATTTATAGAAGGATATCAATGTCAAAAGCCTTTAAGAAATGACTGGCTTTATATTTAATCTTAATTAAATATAGTACAAGTAACCTGATACATTAAAAGTATGTTGTCGACCATGGCTGGGAATATGGCAGAATTGTAGAGTGCTTCCTAGCATGCATGAAACCCTTGGTTTGATCACTCAGTACCACATAAACAGAAAAATCCAGAAGTGGTTCTATGGTTCAAATGGTAGAGCACTAGCCTTGAGCACAGAGAGGTTCAGGGACAGAGCCCAGGCCCTCAGTTCAGTCCCCAGTACTGGCAAAATAAAAAATATGTGTAACCCAAAAGTTGGAAGTGGTGCTGTGGCTCAAGTGGTTGATGATTAGCCTGAACAAAAAATTCATAGCATCCTAAGTGGTGCAAGCCCCAGGACTAACACCAAATGATACTGATAACAACAACAACAATAATAATAATAATAATAAAAGTGTTTGTGAAATTTCCTATTAGGAAAATGTTTAGATTGAAGTATGCTGAAATGATGCTTGATCTAGTATGTAGTCTGCTCAGACAATATTCTTATGGTAGGGAAAAAATAAAAAAATTATAATATATAAGTAGACATTTAATATGTTTGAAAATGTTGAGCCACAAATATTTTAGTGCAGTAGTTTTAAGAGTAAAATGAACATCACTTTGACTCAAGAAAGTGACTAAAAGATCTGTGCACTATTAATGCCAGTGTAATAATAAACTAGGGATTATCTTTCAGAGAGAAGGTTCATCCTCTTTGATTTAGCAAGTCTACAGAATTATCCTGCAGATACAATTGCACACAGCCAAAAGTGTTACTGGAATTATTTTAAAATAATAAAATAATCAGCAGCCACTTTCATCATTGCCCAGGTGCTAAATAGGATAAAGGGTCTTCTTGATTGAATTAAGTGCTCAGTTCTGGTATTAACTCCTAATTCATTGCAACAGTATGTTTTTGCCTTATAGAAAATTTAGGCATTTCTATTCTTGTGCTGTACACTTCCCTGTTTTCTACTACTTAACAGTTTTGACTCACAGTTAGACTTTTTCAGTCACTTCAGCATTGGTACACAGAGAAAATGAATGGCCTCATTTTAACATCTTGAAACCATAACACCACAATATTAAGTCATAAAAATATGAATCTGTTTATAAAAACATTAGTATATATCAATAATATATATACATAACCCCTGTTTATGGGGCTTTGAGAATAAACAAGGCCAGCCATTTTTAGAACATACTTTGAATTATTTATAAAATTCATATATTCAGAAAGATCAATAAAGGTGATTCCATTTTGGTGGTAAATACATGAAGATATAAACCCAGTAGAAGGTATATGGGCCTGATTTTTTGAAACTCTTAGATAATCAGATATAAGTCAAGACAGAGCCATACAAGTTGTGCATTTACAATAACATAAGAATAGTGTTGCTGGGCGCCAGTGGTTCACGCCTGTAATCCTAGCTACTGAGGTGGCTGAGATCTGAGAATCACAGTTCAAAGCCAGCCCGGGCAGAAAAGTCCATGAGACTCTTATCTCCAATTAACCACCAGAAAACTGGAAGTGGTGCTGTGGCTCAAGCTATAGAGCGCTCACCTTGAGCTGAAGAGCTCGGATAGTGCCCAAGCCCAGAGTTCAAACCCCATGACCGACCAAAAAAAAAAAAAAAGAATAGTGTTAAATTTTAGGAGGTTGCTAAATGAATATACTGTTTTTCTCTTTAAAAAGCTTGGTAGCTTAAAATCTTAAGTTAATATATTGATTAGCTTGCAGTACTTGGTTCAAGTTTCCCTTGCCTCTTTTTTTTTTGAAAAATCATAAACTAAAAAGCCAATAGGGGAGAGAATATGGTTTTTAAAAAGATATGGATTCTTGTCTGACTCTGATTTACAAATTTGTGTTTTACAGGCTTATTTTCACCTAGGTATCAATGAAAAGTTAGGACTCTCCGGAAGGCCAGATAGACCCATTGGCTGCCTGGGTACATCAAAGGTGCTCGAAAAAGTTCTGCCCAGTGTTTGAATTGTGATAGCACATGTTAAGATGATATTTGACATACTATCCCTCTATTATCATATTTTATTATGGACTAAGGCAAATTATTTGACATTATTTTCTTTAAATCTTACTTATCTTGTTTCATACCACAGAAGCTTTCTGGGAAGAAATGCTTAGGACACTGCTATGTTTTTTCTAAGCCTTGTATACCTTTACAACAAATTTTATGTGGACTTTTCCCATTTATTAGAAATTGTCTACTTTTTATACTGATTTGGCAAGAAACTTTAAAATTAATGTTGTATAGATTTTATTTACCTGTTCAGATTAGCATCTGTTTTAACTTAGTTGAGATTGATAATACTGTTGCTTTGCCTTTAAGTATGTTTTATATTTATTTGTTTTTGTTTCCCATTACAGATTTATCGCATTCTAGGAAAGACAGTGGTTTGTTACCCTATCATCTTTGACCTAAGTGATTTCTACATGTCTCAAGATGTTTTACTACTGATAGATGACATAAAGGTAGTTTCAGAACCCCTTTTGACTGAAATAGGATGACTTTATTTCTAAGATTTTTATCGTATGTTGTTTAATCAAGCACTCCTGCATAGCTGTGCACTGAGATACACAGTGTAAGATATGGAAGTAAAATGAACACCTTTGCAGAGTTTAGCTAACTGGGAGCATTAGAATGAAGGATGAAGTCTGTAAAGTTACTACACTGATTTTTGCACTTTTCTATAAGTGGAGTGAAAAGATAAAGTTTGCAAAAGTGGGTAAACTGTGTTGAAAACTATGTTTATATGAAAGACTTTTTTTAACAAAAGTAGAATTAGCAGAATAATTTTCTTTATAAAGAATATCCAAGGCCAGCCATGGTATTGCACACTTATAATCCCTGCTACTTAGAAGGAAGAGATTTGGAGGCTTCTGGATCAAGGCCAACTGGAGCAAAAAGATAGTGACACCTGTTTGAAAATTAAAGCAAAAAGGGCTGAGGGTGTGATTCAAGTTGTAGATTACCTATCTGGCAAGCACAAAACTAGTTTCAAACATTAACCACCACCAAAAATGAAAATGTCCAGGACAACCTCACCTAACACCTAACTCTATGAGTTGAAATCTCCTCTATTCCCTGTTTTAATTGCAGAGTATAAAACCTTAAAATAATAATACAGAGTATGAAATCTGGAGTTAGATTATATCTTTTAAATTGTAAAGGTGATGTACAGAGGGGATACAGTTAAATAGTTCAGGTACTGAGTACATTTCTTTTTGAACTGTGTCACCTTTTCCCTCACTCCCCTGTCCCTCCCCATCCCCCAGGTTGTAAAGATCCATTTTCGGCATGGTTGTCTAGTGAATATCACTGCTGAATTAGATCACACTTTGTCCCACTATTTCTGGGCTTCCCCTTCCCCTTCCCCAAGCAGATAAACTTACATGTAAGGCAAAAACTACAGAAATCAAAAACAGCGACAAAAGAGGAAAAACAAAAACAAAACAACAAAAAAGAATCACAAAAAGTAAAATAAAAAAAACCTCTTGTTTCCATTTCTTGGAGTTCATTTAGGTAAGCATCATTTTACATTATCATATGCAAACAGCTATTGAGCCTTGGTGATACGCTCTAGAAATATTCTCCTTTGATTTCATTGTGTGAATGCTTAGAGTCTTTATCATATCCAAGTGTAATTTTTTTTTTACCATCCATTGGGTTTACTTGTAGGTTTATAGGCCCAATATTTTTACTACAAATGAGGGAAACTATGAAACCTATGTTTCTTTGGGTCTGGTTTTCCATTTCCTTACGAAGAATGGAGTAATTTTATTCTTTCTGATGGACGCATTAAATTACATTGTGTGTATGTACCACATTTCTTGACCCTTCATCCACTGAGGGACATTTGTATTGATTACATATCTTGTCTATGGTAAACAATGCTGCAGTGAGCATGATTGTGCTGGTACCTTTAGTGTGAACTGGTTAGTGATCAATTGGATAAATGCTTGGAGTGGAATTGCTGGGTCATAGGGAACCTTTATGTTTATTCTTTGGAGGAACTTCCATACTGCTTTCTAGAGTGCTTGAACAAGATTACATTACTACCAACAGAGTAGTTGTGTTCTCTTATAGACACATCCTCTCCAGCATCTGTTATTGTTACGATATCTTGGTAATGGCCATTCTAATTGTGGTGAGATAGAATCTCAATGTTGTTTTGATTTGTATTTCTTTTATGGCCAGGGATGTTGACCATCTGTTCATTTGTCATTGGCTATTTGTACTTCTTCTAAGAAATCTCTCTTTAAGTCTTTAGTCCATTTATTAATTGGGTTGTTGTTTCTTTGAGGATTTGTTTTGGGGGGTTTAATTTTTTGAGCTCTAACTATACTTTAGATATGAGTCCCTAGTAAATAGCTAGTAAATTTCTTTTCCCATTCTGTGGGCGTTCTGTTTATCTTGCTAGCTATGTCCTTTGCCATAAAGAAACTCCAGTTTGTTGTAGTCCCATTTATCTAGTCTTAAAGAAGAGAACACACCCAAATAAATAAAATTAGAGACAAATATTGGAATATCACGACAGAAACGAGCAAGATTCAGAACATTATAAGGAAATACTTGGCAAACCTTTATGCTATCAAATTGTAGACTCTGGAAGCAATGGAAGAATTTGATTATTTCACAAATTCCACAAACATTTGCACTGTTCTGAGCTCCTCAATGACCCACTGCTCATTTAATAATGTTTTGTTCAGTCTCCCTGAATTAGAGAATATTCTGTGATGGCTTTTGGTGTTGACCTCTAATTTTATTCTGTTGTGGTCTGACAGGATGCAAGGAACAATCTCATGTTTTATGAATTTAGTTTTGCTTTGTGACCTAAAATATGACCTATTTTGGAGAATCTTCCATGAGCTGCTCTGAAGAATATTATGATATTACTTGGTGAAATATTCTGTAGATGTCTGTTAAGTCTGTTTGATCAATGTAGTTATTTAGGTATGAGGTTTCTCTTTTAAGCTTTTGCTGGGATGATCTATCAAAAGGTGACAGTGATGTGTTAAAGTTACCAACAATCTTTGTGTTTGGATCGATGTGTGTTTTTAAGGTAAGTAGTAGTTGTTAGATGAAGTTGGGTTGTCTGGCATTTGGTGTATAGATATTTAGAATTGTTATATCCTCCTGTATTATAGATCCCTTCATTAATATAGTATCCTTCCTTGTCTCTTCTCACGAATTTTAATTTGAAGTCTTGTTTATCTGATACTAGAATTTCTACTCTGGCCTGTTTATAGGGCCATTTGCTTGAAAGATTTTATTCCAGCCTTTCAGTTTCAGAATATATTTGTTTTGGGGGCAAGATGTGTCTTGAAGACAGAAGAAGGATGGGTCCTGTGTTTTTGATTCAACAAGACAATCTGTCATTTAATTGGAGAGTTAAGTCTATTAATATTGAAAATCAGAACTGAGAAGTGTTTGGTAGTTCTTGCCATGTTATCCACTTTCTTAGAGTCTGTGCCTTATATTTTCTTACTATAATTATCTGGTTTTCTGGTAAGGAGCCATTCTCTACCACTTGCATGTTCTTGTTAGTTTTCTATATGTGGGGCCATTCTCTACCACTTGCATGTTCTTGTTAGTTTTCTATATGTAGGACATCTTTAAGTATCTTCTGTAGTGCTGGTTTTGTGGAGATAAATTATTTCCATTTTTCCTTGTTCTGGAAAGTTTTATTTGTCCCACAGTTATGAAGGAGAGCTTTTCTGGATACAGTATTCTTGGTTGGTAGTTGTTTATCTTTAAGGTGTGACATACATCATGCCAGGCTCTCCTGGATTTCATGGTTTCAGCTGAGAAATCTGTAGTTATTCTGATAGTTTTTCCTTTATAAGTAGTTAATTTTTTCTCTCTGACAGCTTTAAAGATCCTTTCCTTGGTCTCTGTTGATCCTATGCTGATTATAATGTGTCGATGGGATATTGATTTCTGGTCTGGTCTGTTTGGAGTTTTAGAGGCTTCTTGTATCTAAACGGGCTTAGTGTTTTGTGTGTTGGAAAGTTCTCTGCTAGAATTCTGTTAAATGTTTCCTATCCATTTGGTTTCTTCCTCTTCTTCACTACCAATCAGCCTAAAATTAGGTGTTTTTTTTTTAAGTTCTGAAATTTTTGTAAGCTCTTTCTTGTTTTTTAGATTTTTTTCTGGATAATTGTCTCCTCCTTCTCTATAATATTAATCTATCTTTGATTCTTTTTTTGTATGTTTTTAATTGTAAAAATACTGTACATGGTGATTACAGTTATATCAACAAGGTAATGAGTAAATTTCCTATTTAGCATTGTTGCCTCCTCCTTTGTTTTTCCCCTACCATCCCTTTCCTCCCACCACCCCCCCTCCACCAAAGTTGTAAAGTTCATTTTCAACATAGTGTCTTGTACATCTCATTGTTACAATGGGTCAGCCTGTATGCCTATTTAAGCATTTTGCTTTTTACCTTCCCTTCCCCAAGCTAGAGAAGTGTATATACAAGATGTAGGGCACCAACATCAAATACAGTGAAAACAGGAGTTATACCGTGGGGGAGGAACATACAAAGAAACACAAAAATCACATGGTACCTTATAAATACATTAGAAACAATAGCAAGAAAGAAAAAAATTGTGTCCCTATCTTGGGGTTCATTTCACTTAACATCATCTTATATGGTCATATGTACATAGCTTTTGACCTTTTCTACTTGTTCTGCACAAGTACTAGTTATTGCAAATAAGGGAAATCATGGGACCTATGTTTCTTTGGGCCTGGCTTACTTCACTATCTTCGATTCTTGAGACTGTCTTCTATGTCATCTATTCTTGTCTTTTATGTCATCTATTCTTCTGTCAATAATTTCTACTTTGTTTTTTATTTCTCTGACTTCTAATTGTTAATTTATGACCTCTATCTCTTTATTGAAACTTTCTTTTAGGTCTTGTGTGGACTTCTTCACTCCTTTAATTTATCAGTGTCTTCTCTCATATCTTTTAGTGGAGTGACTATTTTTAATTTGTTCTACCTTTCCTCCTTTTGGACTTCATTTAGTTTTTGTGGATTCCATGAAATTCCTCTAATAAACCTTGGTTAGTCTCATCACACTCACAAATTGACATGTGAAGACTTTCTATCTTTTCATTAACATATTTATCAGCAGTATTTTTAAAGCATTTTAAGAACTGTCTTCTAGGCCCTTCATTGTCTGCTCTATCACCTGGTTATTTTCTGTGAGAGCTGAGCTTCCTTGAATTGCCAGTTTTCTTGTGTTTCTATGGTTTGTTCTGCCCATTTGGAAACAAAAGCAAATCAAATGATTCCCAGTGGTGCTTAGGACCATCCACGATGTGGGGAATTTTCTCTGTATCTGACTGTGGCTGACTCAGCTGTGGGCTCCCATTTATCTTTTTCTCTCTCTTAAAATCTTAATCCATCACTTGTCAGCTTTATATTCTTGGGCAAGTTATTTAAATCTTATATGCCACTGTTTTCTAATCTATAAAAAGTAATCCTAGGGGCTGAGAAGGTGGCTCAGTGGTAGAGCGCTTGCTTTGCATGCATGAGGCCCTGGGTTTGATTCCTTGGCACCACATAAGCAAAAAGAAAAAAGCCAGAAGTGGTGCTGTGGCTCAAGTGGTAGAGCTCTAGCCTTGAATTGAAGAGCTGAGGGACAGTGCCCAGGCCCAGAGTTCAGGCCCCACGATTGGACCCCAAAAAGAAAAAAAGTAATCATAAAAGTAATAGTAATAAAGCTGTTCTGAGGATTAAATTGAATATCTGAACTGGACATAATAAAACATGAGTATGATAGGATAGTGATGATGGTAGTTTGTAATTAAATATTTAAACACATAAAGCATTCCCTCCATATCACTTCAGTTTTAATAGATTTACTTCAATCTCTTCTATCTGCTGTACTGTATTATGGTAATGTAATATACAATTATGATAATTAATCTTGTGAATTTTTTTTCTTCCAAGTATCTTTTTTTTGTCTTTTGTTTTTTTTTTCTTTTTTAATGAACAAGCCAGACTGGCTTCAACTTGAAAGTCTCCTGTCTCATTCTTCCAAGTACTAGGATTACTGGCATGCATCATCATGCCAGGCTTTCTTTGAGACCATTCCTTTTTGTTTTCCCCCTTATGAGTTGTTGGGCTTGGACTCTGGGCCTAGGTACTGTCCCTGAGCTCTTCAGCGCAAGGTGAGCACTCTACCAATTGAGGCACAGCACTACTTCCAGTTTTCTGGTGGTTAATTGGAGATGAGTTTCACAGATTTTCCTGCCCAAGGTGGCTTTGAACCGCTATCTCAACCTCCTGAGTAGCTAGTATTATAGGTGTAAGCCACCAGCACCCCACTGAGACCATTCTTTTTTTTTAAGTGTTTTTATTGTGAAAATACTGTACAGTGGGGTTACAATTAGATGGGCAAGACAATGAGTACATTTCTTATCAAGCATTGTAGCCTCCTCCTTTGTTTCCCCTTCCTATCCTTCCCCGCCATCCAATCCTCCCCCCCCCACCAAAGTTGTAAAGTTCGTTTTTCCACATAACGACTTGTGCATCTCATTGTTGCAGACCATTCTTGAACTGTATTTTTTGAAGCCACCAGAGAGAGCGTACACATGTACAAGATAAAAAGCCTTAAAATTTGGGCAATGTGATTATTTTTAAAAAACAAATTAAAGTAACAGGGTTTCCTTAGTCTGAATTATCTAGGCTTCGAATTCTCATAATGTGAGTTTTGTTGTCTTTTTGCCTCTCATGGTTAAGTTTTCAATCAGCTTAGATACTATGCCATTCTACCCTACATCATCTTCTGTTTTCATAGAATGCACTGCAGTTCATCAAGCAATATTGGAAAATGCATGGACGCCCACTTTTTCTTGTTCTCATCCGGGAAGACAATATAAGGTAGGTTGATTTTTTAAAAAAGGAGTCAGATGCTTGTATCGTACAGCCATTAACACTATGAACCCCTTGGAAGCAGAGGTTTCTTGGTTTTTGTTGTTGTTGTTTTGTGTTGTTCTTATGTAGTGTTGTAGAGTTATTTGAATAGTTATTATTAGACTATTTATTCCCCATTTTGTTTATATGCTTTATTTTTAGGGGTAGCCGGTTTAATCCCATATTAGACATGCTGGCAGCCTTCAAAAAAGGAGTGATTGGAGGAGTCAAAGTTCACGTTGATCGTCTACAGGTAGCCTCTGAATTTCAGTGTGTTTTTGTGTTATAATTATCTGCAACTTAGCTGTTTCTTATTATGTGTTCTGTTTAAGATTTTTATTTTAAAATTTTATTCTGTACTGATCATCCTATTCCTATTGATGTCTCAGGTGCTTAAACTATTGCAGTTGTTTACTAATAAATATTTTAAATCTTAGTAGCTGAATTCCAACCTCATAACTGCATTTGAGGAACTGAGTTGATAAGGGATCAAGTAACCAACTGAATAATCTTGGAATTTTAAAGGCAAATTGTTCCAGTGCTCCTTGTTTTATTCAACTTTAACATTCAGCCATGATATAATTCTATTCCATTTGAACATATCAGCATTGTCTTCACAACTCCTTATTACAGAGAGTTCTCTGTTAGATATAATAGCCTCTTTGTCCACAGCCCTCTCCTATTAAATATTCTATGCATTAGCCAATACAGATTAATTCCTATGTTCTGAATTTTGTTGAGTTCTATCCCTCTGCTCTCACCATTTCTTCTGCTTGGCTCTTCTCCCTTCTGTCAAGATTTTTGGACTTTGAAGACTTCAAAGGACAACTCTGAAAAATGGCTCAGTTTAGAAATGCCATTTCTCTTCTTTGCCATCCTTCTATATCCTTTAATTTCAGCTAGTCACATTGTAGTTCACTAAATTCTTATGTCTTGTAAAATAATTGTGACTATCCCCAAGGGTCTTTCATATAGATAGTGCCCAATATTGAGTAAGAAAGACAAGTTCATTCTGCTCTGGGCTTCTAAGTTCATTCTTGGTTGCCATTCCTTAAATAGACATGTATGTGCGTGCATCAGTATTGGGACGTTAAACTCAGGGATTCTTGCTCTTGCTTCTTTATTTCAATCCTGGCACTGGGGCTCTGCCACTTGAGCCATACCTCTACTTACAGCTTTTTTGTTGGTTATTTAGAGATAAGAGAGATGAGGATTTGCCTATCAAACCTACCTTCTAACTGTGATCCTTAGCTGTTCTACAGACTTTTAAAAGTTTTGTCAAAAATGTTTCTAAAACATCTTGGATGAATGCTACATGTAGCACAGGGGAGGATGGAGCCTAATCCACAGAATACTAGCTGTCTCAGATATGGAGAGTAGAAAGGCTATTTTTGTAGCAAAATTAACTTTCAAACTGAATATCAAAAAGAAGACTGAGCCAGGTACCAGTGGGCCACACTTCTAATCCTACCTACTCAGGAAGCTGAGATATGAGGATCATGGTTCAAAGCCAGCTCAGGCAGGAAAGTTTGTGAGACTCTTATCTCCAATTAAGCACCAACAAGATAGAAGTGGCCCTGTGGCCACAAATGGTACAGCACAAGCCTTGAGCAAGTAAAGCTCAGGGACAGAGCCTATGTCTGGGTTCAAGTCCCAGAACTGGCACCAAAAAAAAAAGAAAAAAAGAACATGAAGAAGACCTGAGAATAAAGGGCAAGCCTGTGGCAGTTCAAGTTAAGATTTTCTGTTTTGATTCATCCTTGCCCCACACCCTTACCTTCTGTGAAAATACAGTGCAACAGGGCATATTTAGCTAACATTTTCTCTAAAGGAACCATCCTAAAAGTCCACTACTCTGTCTCCACATATACAACTCCTTATAATTCAACCCCTTATAAGCCCCTTAAAATAACCCAAGAAGAATAACATATAATAAATATAGGACAAGTATAACAACAAAAGAGAAACTTAAATTATGTAATCACACTTCATTAACTTGTCTGGAATCCTCTGAGTCAGTGCTACTGTATAACAAGCACTTATTTCTTTGGTCACTAGTGTTCCCTCAGTAATTGAAGCCTAAGGACCTTATAAAAAAGAAAGGTGGGGCTGGGAAGGTGGCTCAGTGGTAGAGCACTTGCCTTGCATGCATGAGGCCCTGGGTTCGATCCCCAACACCACATAAGCAAAAAGAAAAAAAAGCCGGAAGTGATGCTGTGGCTCAAGTGGTAGAGTTGAAGAGCTGAGGGACAGCGCCCAGGCTCAGAGTTCAGGCCCCACGACCGGACCCAAAAAAAAAAAGAAAAAAAAGAAAGGTTATGTTAAAACTTAGCTCTCACATAGCTACTGCAGTTAAATACTAAGGCAGTGGTTCTCAACCTGGTCTGCAATTTGAAATCACCTGGAAGCTTCTAAAAGCTCTTATTCTGGGATACCCCCAAAGATTCTAATCTAATCAATCTGGGTTGCAGGTTGGCCATGAGAACATTTTTAAATAGCCCTAGTTAATTCTAATGTGCAGTCAAGGTTGAAAATCTAAGATGTGATTAAAAATAAGTACTCTACAGCCTCCTCCTCCTTGCCTGCCCCTGCAGCCTCTCCCCACCCAATCTCTGTCCATTCTTGTTTAACTTGTGAACTACACTCCCCTAATCTCATTAAAAGGCAGTGTGTGTGTGTGTGTGTGTGTGTGTGTGTGTGTGTGTGTGTGTGTGTGTGTGTTGGCAGGAAGCTAAACTTGGGACAATGCCCTTGTGCTCTACTTGGATGGAACCATAATCTACTTGTAAGAGTGAGAAAGTAACTTTCTCTGATGACTTTAATTCCAAGGTTTTCTTCCTTCAAACTTATTTATTATTACCATACATACTTTTGTGCTGTATTCTAAAATACCAGCATCTCTTTGTTAGGGGAGACTAGTATCTTTATTATAGTCAACACAACTTGGGAAAATCTTGTATAATAATGTTCTCTATGTATTCTCACCAAACATGCTGTACTTATGGCAGTTTTTTATACTTCAGTTTTATTATTATTACACGTACTAATATATGAACAATGAATCTGATGTCTAGGAAATAGCAACAAAAACATAAGAACAGTGGGACACCAGTGGCTCACACTTCTAATCCTAGCTACTCAAGAGGCTGAGATCTCAGGATTGTGGTTCAAAGCTAGCCTGGGCAGGAAAGGCCATGAAATTTATCTACAATTACCCACCAGAAAAATCCTGAAGTGGTACAGTGGCTCAAGTGGTAGAGCACTAGCCTTGAACAAAAAGGATCTCAAGAACAGGGCCACAGGGTCTGGGTCCAGAGTTCAAGGCCCAAAATAAATAAAAAAAAATAAAAGGAAAACAGAGATCTATATAACTAGTGTTATAAATGACATGTTTACATACCCACTTCCTAGTGGTTGTATTTTGCATGTATGATTGATTTTTATGTACATCAAAATCCCCTCCACGTTACCTATTTAATTTTATATTTTAAATGTTTCTGTTTTAAATTTTCCTTACAGTAACCTGCTCTTATTTTGTAGATCTTCTATTTTGTGTTTTTTCTAAGGAAACTAGAATGCAAATTTGTCTGCATTACCGCTTTCAGGTTTTTAATTTTTTTTCCCCTCAGTCTTTCACATTGAAGGTATATGTTCAATATCTGATGATCCTTAGCCTTTTTTCATTTTTTCCAGTCGTTTTTAAGAATGGAGGAGGGGCAGTAGATGAATGGATCAAAAATATGTGGCATATATACACAATGGAATTCTACTTCCATCAGAAAGAATGACATTGCCCATTTGTTAGGAAATGGAAAGACTTGGAAAAAAATATATTAAGTGAAGTAAGCCAGGCCCAAAGAAACATAGGTCCCATGCTTTCCCTTATTTGTAATAACTAGTATATGTCTGAGTCAAGCAGAAAAGGTCAGATAAGTTGATGTTAGGGAAATGAACCCCAACATAAGTATTCAAATGTTTTTTCTTTCATGCGATTGTTTCTAACATATTTATAAGAAGATTTCTTTGTTGCTTTGTATGCCCCTCCGCCATGGTATAACCCCTGCTTTCACTGTATATGATGTTGGTATAATTTGTGGAGGGGAAGGGAAAAAAAAAAACATTTAACTAGGGATACAGGTGGACCCATTGTAACAATGAGATGTACAAGTCGTTCTGTCGAAAAATGAACTTTACAACTTTGGCTGACGGGGGCGGGGGGGGTGTTGGGGAGGTGGGAGATGGGAAGGGATGGGAGGGGGAAACAAAGGAGGAGGCAACATAGCTTGATAAGAAATGTACTCATAATCTCGTCCATGTAATTGTAACCCCTCTATATGGTATTTTCACAATTTTAAAAACAAAATGGAGGAGGGAAGCATTTTGGTGACACACCCTGCGGTCTCACCACTTGGGAGCCTAATGCAAAAGGACTGTGAGTTTGAGGCTACTTGGAGCTATATACCCAGTTTCAAGCTAGTCTGAGCCTCATACTGAGAACCTATCTTTAAAAAAAAAAAAAGAAAGAGAAGGAAAGGAAGGAAGTAAAGAAAGAAGGATAATAAAAGGAATAAGAAAAGAATGATGCAAGGGGTCAAATGTTAGGTATATAGTCTTTCATATACTTAATATTTGATTCTGTTTTCTATGTGTCTTGTGTTTTTGAGACAGTCTTTATCTCCTTTATTCAAGGAGATGCAAACAGATACTGGCTTCTTAGCTATTTAGGGAAAGAAGGACTTTGGGATTAGCCACCATATAGTGTCAGTAAATCTACCATTTTTAGTATCCTCTCCCCTACTCCTTCAGTATACCACACATCCAGAACCTGAAATTCTTCCTGTTCTTTTTATCTGAATAGCTCTATACCTTAAGTTATTTTTTCTACTGTTATTTGAGTGGGACTTGAGGGCAAAATATGTGTGATGGTCACATTAACCAGAAATCCACCATTGCCTTTGCACTGTATCTACATATCCTTACCACTACAAGATCTACCTAGGTATGTTTCTAATCCTTACAAGAAATAATTAGACTTATCATTTTTTAACACACACACACACACACACACAAACACACACACACACACACACACACTAACATTACGCAGGCACCTGTATCTAGTTACTCAGTTCTAGCTACTTAGGAGCCTGAGATTAGAGGATTATGGTTCAAAGCTAGTTTAGGGAAGAGCAGTCTCTGAAACTATCTGAATTAACCAGAGGAATGCTGGACTGGAGGCATGTCTCAAGTGGT